GGCCTCTCCGGAGAAATCCCGAGTGCCGCCGGTGCTAACGGTGCGCGTCGGTGTCGCTGATGCCGGTTTCCTTCTGTTCCGCAGTCAGCAGGAGGGAGAAAAAGAAATCAGGCTGCAGCATTGTGGATAAGCCAGAAGGAGGAGGAGGTAAGGAAGTCTAAAGGCCGAGTCGCTCAGCTGTTACGAATTCTTCTCCCAGGATAAAAGAGCTCGGGGAGGGATTAATTCCACCTCTCCCCAAAGCTCTCTTACGTGGGCAAAAAGCCGCGTGCGAGCGAGGATCGATCAGACGTCTGCTCGGTGGGTTGGCGGCGAGTTTGGGAGAGCGCCGGGTTGAATATGCAAATAAATCTTCCCCGGGGGATGTTGGATTCGGGAGGATTTGGGCTCTCGGAGGTGGATCCGCAGCTCGTGGCGGGGGTTTGTCCCCGTCGCCGCCCGTGATGGTGGGGTGGGTGGCGTTGGAGCGTGCCGCAACTCCTTCCACGCTGCCGGAGCCTGAAATTGCAGCCACGAGGCTTTGGAAAATTTAAAAAAAATACAACAACAAAAAAAACCCCCAAGCCCTCGCGGTAGTAGTTGTGCTGGGAAACTCTTCTGAGAAAGCCGGGCTTGGCAGTCGCTCAGAAACATCTGCGGGCGCCGTGCCCGGGGAGCGGGGGGAGCTGGAGGCGCCGGGCACTGCACAGCCGCGCTCCAAATGCTCAAATCTGGATTATTCGCCTTATTTCAGCCACCTGGAGCCCAAATGGTAGCGGTGGCTGAAGCTTTTGGGCTCCTTTCCGCTGCTGCTCACGCTTACGGCCCTTTCAGTTTTACCCTTTTTGGTGTTTTCTTCGGTGGCGTTTGGGGCTGCTCCAAGGAGAGGGGGCTAACATGAGTAAGAAAACGAGCGGTGGAGTGGGAGAGCCGGGTTTCTCTGCTGCCACGGTGAATGTTTCATGGAATCGCAGCCCCCAGCGACGCTTGTGGCTCTGGAGAAAACACGATGAATACGCTGAGGAGCTCAGCGGTTGCGAGCTCCTGTCGCTGTCTGAATGACTTTTTTTTGCCTTTTTTTCACCCTTTTCCAAGGTTATCATTTCCCAGAGTGGGCTTACAAGACCGAGTCGAGCCCCGGGTCGCGGCAGATCCAGCTCTGGCATTTCATCCTGGAGCTGCTGCAGAAGGAGGAGTTCCGCCATGTCATCGCCTGGCAGCAGGGCGAGTACGGGGAGTTCGTCATCAAGGACCCCGACGAAGTGGCCCGGCTGTGGGGCAGGAGGAAATGCAAACCCCAGATGAACTACGACAAGCTGAGCCGGGCGCTCAGGTGAGCAGGAGTCTCCATGGAGGTGGGGGGCCAGTAAGCAGCCCTCCTCCCATCCTCCCCTGCCTCCGTTGGGCAACTGTCGTAGATATTTCCGTCCCTGGTGCGGTGGCACCTGCGTTTCTGCGAGGTTTGTGTGGGGTGGTGAGTTCTGGGGTGCCTGAGTGCTCGGGTCGGTCTGGCTGGGCTTGGGTGCGATGAGAGGAGTGGGGGAGGGAGGCCCTGGTTCACCACGCCACGGTATGAAGGTGCACCTCTCCTTCAGGGTGTCGTTATCACGATGCCTGCCGTCCTTCCTTCATTCCGTCCTTCCTTCCTCCCGGGGAGCTTTTCTGTCTCTCTTCTCAGCTCCCATTGCCGCCGCTGGCTTGAGCAAGGAAGGTGTGGGAGGAAACCAGAGGTGTTACTCTATTATCACACCATCAAGGGTTTCAGAGAAAGCAACTCCCCTTTCTAACAGAACTTGTGTTTGTCTCTCTACTGCTCAAGCTGTGCCACGCAGAGGTTCAGGGCTGGTCCCATGGCAAGGACCCTCACTGGCTGTTTCCCAAGCCCTGGTGGCACCAGTTTGGGGATCCTTAAGGACACCCTCTGGTCACCGGTGTCCCCTGGAGTGAGACAAGGCCTTGAGCCTTCCTGTTTTGAAGTCAGACGGTGGAAAAGCGGCACAACCCTCTGCAGTATTGCAGCATTTCAAGGCTGTGACCCGCAGGAGTGGCTGGGTTCCTGACAGGTCCGGGCATTATCAGCCTGTAACGTGGACTTCGCTGCCTCACGCCCTCTGATACCTCCTGGGTGGAGCTGACAAAGACAAACAAGGCAGCAAACACGAGAGTCTCATACTGGAACAGGAAGGAAACAATAAATTGAATGGCACCGAGGCCGTAATTGGTGCACGGGAGTGGAAAACAACTCCACTTACCAACACTGCTCAGGTCTTGGCATCTCGGTGCCGAGCGGGGCAGGAGCTCTGCGGGTAGCGGCAGCCGCTT